ACTTCCTCAAACATCACCACCGAGACCACCCCACACAGTACTCCCAGCTTCACTTCTTCAATCACCACCACAGAGACCACATCCCGCAGTGCTCCCAGTTTCACTTCTTCAATCACCACCACTGAGACGCCCTCACATAGTACTCCCAGATTCACTTCTTTGATCACCACCACTGAGACCACCTCACCCAGTACTCCCAGCTTCACTTCTTCAATCACCACCATCGACACCAGCTCCCACAGTACACCCAACTACACTTCTTCGATCAGAAACCGAGACCACCTCACACAGTACTCCCAGCTTCACTTCCTCGATCACCACCACCGAGACCCCCTCACAGAGTGCTTCCAGCTTCACTTCTTCCATGACCACCTCTGAGACCCACTCACACGGTACTCCCAACTTCACTTCTTCGACCACCACCATCGAGACCAGCTCCCACAGTACACCCAGCTACACTTCTTCGATCAGAACCACCGAGACCACCTCACACAGTACTCCCAGATTCACTTCCTCTATCACCACCACCAAGACCCCCTCACAGAGTACTTCCAGCTTCACTTCCTCCATGACCACCTTTGAGACCCAGTCACACGGTACTCCCAACTTCACTTCTTCGACCACCACCACCGAGACCACATCCCACAATACTCCCAGCTTCACTTCCTCAATCACCACCACCAAGACCACCTCACACAGTTCTCCCAGCTTCACTTCTTCAATCACCACCACAGAGACCACATCCCACAGTACTCCCAGTTTCACTTCTTTAGTCACCACCACTGAGATCCCCTCACATAGTACTCCCAGCTTCACTTCTTTGATCATCACCACAGAGACCACCTCACCCAGTACTCCCAGCTTCACTTCTTCAATCACCACAACCGAGATCACCTCCCACAGCAATCCCCGCTTCAATTCTTCGATCACCATCACTGAGACCACATCCCACAACACTCCAAACTTCACTTCTTTGATCACCACTATCGAGACCACATCCGGCAGTACTCCCAGTTTCACTTCTTCAATCACCACCACTGAGACCCCCTCACATAGTACTCCCAGCTTCACTTCTTCGATCACCACCACCGAGACCATATCCCACATCACTCCAAGCTTCTCTTCTAAGATCACCACGACTGAGACCACCTCCCAGAGCACTCCCAGCTTCACTTCTTCGATCACCACCACCGAAACCA